CCTACATCCAGAGCTGCTTCCACCCTCACCGCAGGGGCAGGTCTGGGTATCTGCAGCAAGACCATGGCACCTGCAAAGCGTTAAAATACAATCTGGCTCTTTTTAAAAATATTTGCCAACCGCTGATCTGGAATCACATAAAGGCAAAATGGCAGGGCCTCTAATATGTAGCTCCCTAACTTCTTGAGAAAAAAAACTACCGTTTAAATTCAAGTCACAATTCTGATAAGCCCAGTCATACATGAATGTCACCCAGGATAATCCTCCTCTCTGTTGGTCAAAGTCAAGAGCATGCCTTACAAAGATACTCAATGCAGGCACTTGATAAACTCTTTGCAGCTGAATCCTGGCACATGAAGTTATTTACGGTATGGCTACTAGTATGTTTCTTGCATAAAGCTATAGTTGACAGCAATTCACCTACAAAGAACGCCTCAGCCAAAACAGGCACACGTGATGGTGACATTCACCCCATTATCGATCACTTTTGTGGCACTATTTACAGATATATAAAGCAAATATTAACAGATCTGAAAGGACAGACAAAAATACCACAAGTGTAGGGGACTTCGGTACCCCATTTTCTACAATGGACAGAAAACCGATAAGAAAACAGGGTACTCAACGTGCACTTCAGACCAAATAGACCTTATAGACACATACAGAAAATCACACCAGAATATGCATTCTTCTTAATATGCACACAGAAACTTTTCCAGGATAGACAGCATGTGAGGCCAAAAAACAATGTTACCCAGTACCTTTCCTTTTTTTTAAAATTGAGACAGAGTCTCACTCTGTCGCCCAGGCTGGAGTACAGCGGCGCGATCTCAGCTCACTGCAACCTCTGCCACACGGGGTTCAAGCAATTCTTGTGCTTCAGCCTCCCAAGTAGCTGGGAATACAGGTGCATGCCACCATGCCCAGCTAATTTTTTTGTATTTTTAGGAGAGCCGGGGTTTCACCATGTTGGCTGAGCTGGTCTCGAACTCCTGACCTCAGGTGATCTGCCTGCATTGGCCTCCCAAAGTGCTGGGATTAGAAGCCTGAGCCACCGTGCCTGGCCTCAAATGTCTTTTCTGACCAGAGTGGTATGAAACTAGGAATCAATAACAAGAGGAATCTTGGAAAATTCACAAGTTTATGGAAATTAAACAATATGATCCTAAATAACTATTGGGTCAAAGAAAAAAAATCAGAAGAGAGATTTCGAAATATCTTGGGAAAAACAAAACTAGAAACACAAGACACCAAAACTTACGGATGCAGCAAAGGCAGTTCTAAAGGAAAGTTTATGGCAGTAAATGCCTATATTAAAAGAGAAGAAAATTCACACAAAAAAACGAATGTTGCACCTGAAGGAACTAGAAAAAGATCAAACTAAACCCCAAATTAGCAGAGGAAGGGAATAGGAAAGATCAGAGCAGAAACAAACAAAATAGAGACTAGAAAAACAATAGAAAGATAAACAAAACTGAGGGTTCTGAATACAAACGAAATTGACAAACCTTTATCTAGACTACATAAAAAGAGAAGACTCAAAATCAGAAATCAAATAGCAGTCATGACCATAACTGATGCCACGTAAGACACAAAGAATCAAAAAAAAAAAAAAAACAAAAAAAAAAAAAAAAAAAAGAACAATTACGTGGAGATAAATTGGATAACCTGGAATAAACTCATAAATTCCTAGACACATACAACCTACCAAGACTGAAACATGAAGAAACAGAAAATCTGAACAGAACCATAACAAGTAAGGGGATTGAATCAGTAATAAAAACTCTTCCATCAAAGAAAAGCCCAGGACCTGCTCACTTAACTGATTAATTCTATCAAACATTGGGGGGTAGAAAAAGAAAAAAACAACTTTGCTACGGTTTAAATATTGGCCCCTGCCATAACTCATGTTGAAATCTAATCCCCAGTGTGGCAGTACTGAGTCGTGGTGAGGCCTTTAAAAGATGATTAGGTCATAAGGAACCTTGCCTTCATGAATGGGTTAATACATCTGTGGATTAATTAACTAATGGGTTAATGGGCTATCACAAGAGCAGGACTCGTGGCTCTCTAAGAAGAGGAAGAGAGACCTGAGCTAGCATCCTCAGCCCCCTTGCCATGTGATGCCCTGTGCAGCCTCAGGGCTCTGCAGAGTCCCCAACAGCAAGAAGGTTCTTACCAGACGCAGCCCCTTGAGCTTAGACATCTCAGCCCCTATAAATATTAATATAAGAAATAAATATTTTTTCTTTATAAATTACCCAGTTTCAGGTTTTCTGTCATAAGTAACAGAAAACAGGCGAATGCAAACTCCGCCAGAAAGGTGAAGAGATGCAAACACTTTCAAACTCATTTTACAAGGCCAGCAGCATCCTGACATGAGGTCTTTCTCAACACAATAGAAAGCATTTAAGGCTTTGCATGCTGCAAGGTCTTCTTGCAACTATTCAAACCTGACCCTGCAGTGTAGGGGGAAGCAGCCATGAATGTACATGAGCCACGTTCCACTCAAACTTTATGTATGGAACTGAAGTAGGATACCTTCATATAATGCTGTAAATACAGCTCTTAGCTCACAGGTTGTAGAAACCAGAAGAGGGCACGATCAGCTCATGGGCTGTTGTATTTTAGTGCAAGCAGCATTCTTTTGGACTTGGAACTGTTCTTAACAAAAATCATAGAATCACTAATTGCACAATTTGCTGTGGGTATTCATGGACTCAGAAAGTTGGTGTGGATGAAATCTCCCAAAAGAACTGCAGACCATTTCTGATCAATCAATAACCAGGGTGTGGAGGGGTGAGGAGGAGACTGCACACACCCACACAAACACAAGCCTCTGCTTCACACAGCAGAACAGGAAGCACAGCAGAACCGACCCTCACTCTGTTCCCGTCCAGGCTGAGACAGGTCCAGCTATGCTAGAAATTCCTGGCATGTGTGGAAGGAAACGCGCATTCTGCAAAGTTGGCGGATTTCGGCAAGTGTCAGCGATTTCACCCCCGCAGTGATGATGACGAACTTCTGTTAACATGGACATCAGCAATTTCAAACTAAAAGAGGGCTTATCTCTCAGGGCACAGTTTCTAAGCATTTCAAAAATGGTTTACATGGTACCAGAAGCGGGCAAGCAATTAGCAAATCACTTCTGAGAAGTTTCAACCTGTTCCCATGAATTCCACTAACAAGAACTGTCCAGAAAGCCCAAAGTTGCTTAGGGAAAGGGTGCATTTTAGAAAGCTCTAGGCAGTCCCCACTGGGACCCAAATGTTTTACGTCATCTCATCATTTCTTTCAATTTCATCAAAAAATGGAAGTGGACAACAACTAAAATGGAATAAATGGCCAAGGGTGGCTCTTTGCAAGTCCAGCAACTCCGAGAATGTTCTGATGACGTGCTGGCAGCAAGTCTGGATGCGCCCTAGGACCTGCACTTTCCACAGGTGTCCAGGGGTGCTGCTGGGCCCCGGCCCACAGGGCAGGAGTGCTGCTTAGAGCAGCCTGCTGTGTGATCCTGGGCAACGATGACCCATCAATATCAGACTCACTGTACCCAAATCACCACACCAAGCCTGAAAAGCATAGCTTGTTTTAATTAACAAGCGTTGTAATTATTTAAAAGTCTTTGTCTGTCTGTCTCTCTCTCTCTCTCTTTTAGTTCGCACCAAAACACAATTTGGGTGGAGGATCCATAATTTTAACATAATACTTGAAAAGATCAGGTCAATACAGACAATTTGGAAAGAGTCCTAACGGGTGTACCTATCCATCTGGGGGGATAATATGACCAAGTTCGATGTGAGGAAAGAGATAACACCTGAGAGAAGCAAAGAACATCTATGTGCCCTGATGGACGTGTCCTGCACATCGAATGGTCATCAAATGCCCTGCAGCTGTAAACAGCACCCACAAGCCAGCCGACATTAGTGCTTTTGCAGAGCACATATACTAACAGTCTAATATAACCCAAAGGGACGCTTCTTTCAAACTAAATTCCATAATACAATGGATTTCTGTGCAGTTCTTTTAGTGTGAAAGAGTCTGGAAGAAAAAAAAAAAAAAAAACTTCTATCTTGAACCGTCAACACCTCCTAGATACTTTTATGGTCCTAAGAATGCTTTGTCGAACCTATAATAGAGGGAGCTGCCCCTTAACGAACAGAGACCCCAGCCCACTGGAGACATCCTTTCCCAAAGGATTCCTCCCTGACTCAAGGTGTGACTGGGATAAGAGCTTTTCTCTAATAGTAAGTTTCTGGCGGGAGGGTTAAGCCCTCAGTAAGTTTGCTTTCAGTCCAACGCTTTTCAACACCAATCACATTTCAGGAGCAGTACAAAGCAGCTGAGAAAGCTGGGAATTACGAGGAAAGATCCCAGGAGGTGGGAGGAGGAGGCGTGGAAGGACCCCGCAGCAGCCAGGAGGAGGAGTGCCCGCCAGCATCCACCTGGGTGCCGGCACCCACAGGGCCTGGCAGGGCTGACACACAGGCAGTCCCGGACACTCTGTGAAGATGCACAGGCCACATCTGCACTGTGATGGCTCTGCGTGGAAAGAACCATGTGTTCACTGCAATGGCATCGTGCCATCATCTAGTCCATTAACTGACTACCGTAACTCAGACGGCATGGAAAGTCTGGCACAGTCCATCTGAAAAGTGCACTGCTCTTCTGAAAAGGACGGTTTTCCACAGAAAATACAATTCAATAAAAACGAAAGGATTTGCTCTCCTAACCGTGGTCAGTAGTTCCAAATGTCCAGCTACACATGCAGGGACCCCAATCCTATAAATTCTAAAGCCAGATTTAAGGAGGTATGGTAACTCTTTGCTTTTTTTTTTTTTTTTTTTGGTAGGTGTCAACAAAGTTGTTTTAATATATATATACACACATACATACACACACAGTCACATTCCAGTATGACAAATACTCCTTCACCAGGAGAATGCACTACCACTCTGGGATCTTGAAGACTCTCCACCAAGAGCCTGGGCCTGGCGGTCTTCGCAAATGACACTCAACAGGGGGCACTTTTATTCAAGTGGGGAGGGGTGGGGTGTAGCCCAGGGTGTATACTGACTGGGATCTCACGCGGGCCCAGAGCTCTGCTGCTCCCTCTTCATCAGCTCTTCATCCTGCACAGACAACTCTGTCAACTTTCTGCCCACCCGCTCATGGATGACACACATAGGTCCAGGCACAGACTCGCCCTTGGACAGCTCTGCTTCCTTGTAGTGAGGAGGCACACACCTCCGGTGGCAGGCACTGGTCATTCTGTTGTACATATCGGCCATCATCTCCACCTCCAGCTCTGCAGCCAGCTGTTGGGCCCTGAGCAGACCCATCTCAGCTAGCACCCTGGAAGGGATCTCCTTCTGGCCTCCTAATCCACTACCTGGATCACAATGCCCATGGAGACCCCAACTTCTCACAAATATTATAATGTTACCCCTTTGTTTGCTTCTTTATGAGCAACTAGGAAAACCTAAAGACAAACCTACGAGAAGCACGTCACACCGGCTCAAAGTGGAAATGTGCTCAGAGGCAGCACTGGTCTCCATCTCCACTCCAAGGGCTGACACCCCGCCAGACCCCCGAGAGTGAGAGGTGGGCACGCTCACCCTGCAGTGAATGACAACCACGTGCTGGGGGTCGCTGTTCAGCCAGGACTCCTGCGCCTTGCATATGGTACACATCTTATCCAGGGGTGGTGCGTGGAGCTCCGGCCAGCCCACATCCATGATCTGCAACAAGAGAGGGGAGCTTCCTCAGTTTCCATTTCCTAAAACATCTGAGGCCATTTCACAATGACTTATTTCGTCATCAGTATATTTCATTTGGGAGCAAAGAACATGCTGCACGACCCTTTCCTAAAACTCAGTGAGCATCCTTCACTGGGAAGAAAAAAATAAAGCATTACACTGCCCATGTGATGCCTCTTCTTCCAGGGGCTCATCTGCTCTTCCACAGCTGGGGCGACAATTCTAAAAAGGTCTTTGGGGAGCTGCTGATGGTACAGGTTGTGTGAAGGGGGCTGCAGTCCAGTGAGATCTCAAACAGGAGTCCTAGCCCCCAGCTGCAATCCTCCCACTCAGGTTAAAATACCAATTTGGAGAGTGCAGCCAGCCATCTCCCACATGCTGTGCAGAGGCAAACTCCTGGAAAGGCAGGACTAAAGGAGGAAGCACCTTCAAACCCCTGATTAATTTTAGTGCATGGACAAAGAAAATCACCACCATGTGCTAAGGACACAGCGGATCTGTGCAGAACTGCAGCTCTGAGCGTTCTGAGGCACACGCAAGTCCACAGTGGCCCACAGTGGCCACATGGGGGCGTTGCTTTTCCTTTGATTTCCTTTTGCCAGTAGGGGGAGGAAAAGGAGCTCTATCTTATGATGACAGTCGCAGAAACAGTGTAAAATCTTTGGAAATTTCAGAACACTGCCAGGAAGTAGGAAAAGTCACTACCCCTGCCACCAGTCAAAGATAACCAACCACTACAACCTTTTCATGAATCCCTTTCTATGTACATTTAGCATAACTGAGATACTATTATTATAAATTCTATACTCTACTACTGTTAACTAGTATTGAAATGGGCAACTTATCATGATTCTGCTTTTTTACTCTAACGACTACAAAATATTTCAACACATAGAATATACATACATATATGTACCATAACCTATGTTGACTCAAGTCTTAAAATTATTCTCCCAAATTTTGCTATTGAAAATGATCATGGGGGATGGGGGAAGGGGAGGGATAGAATTAGGACAAATACCTAACCCATGAGGGGCTTAAAACCAAATGACAGGTTGATAGGTGCAGCAAACCACCATGGCACATGTATACCTATGTAACAAACCTGCACGTTCTGCACATGTATCCCAGAACTTAAAGTAAAATTCAAAAAAAAAAAAAAGAAAGAAAGAAAGAAAATGATCATGGAAAGAGTGAATGACTATGACCATAAAGAGACACTAGGAGAAGAGACCCCCGTGCTGATGAAAATGTTTTCTCTCTTACCTGTGGTGGCTGAACAAATCCATAAATATAATGCAGTTTAGATTTGTTCTCTGTTATAGTAAATCTATAGAATACATATATATATTGATATTGATCGACTTACCACCAATGCAACTTACGACCATTCAACTTTACGACCACAATCGCTAGCCACGACTGCTCCGCATCTGGCAGCGCAAACGTTGCCCAGCTGGGCGTACGACAGTGCGGACCAGCTTCCGGCGGCACTACCATCTCCGCGTGCACCATTTCAACTGTACATATAGCCTACTCAACTTACGACCAAATCATGTTATGACCGGTCCGCGGTCCCGACTGTGGTCGTAAGTCGAGCACTAGCTGTACACACACACACACACAGGATGTATATATGTACATACATAGGACACACACACACACACATATGTTTATATATATATACACGCTGGGATTACAGGAGTGAGCCACCATGCCCAGCCGATACATTTATTTTTAAGGTTAACTTGTTCAAATCAGCATCCAAACAATTCCCAAGGATTTCTTTTTCCTCTATCTTATTCATCTGATATGAATTTAAGTCCAATTCAAATGTTTTCAACACTGTCCGAACAGAAATAAGGCACCACCCACGGTGAATCTCTATTTCAAACTAAAAAAAAGTAATTAAAAATATATACAAATATGCATTACATATGAAAGATCCCAGGAGGTGGGAGGAGGAAGCGTCATGCGTATAATTTGTTCTATACATACATATACACAGTATATATCATCTATACACATGATGCCTAGAAACACACATGTACCCAAAAACCAGGGACATGTGAGTGAGGTCCACAGGCTGTACCAGCTCCAACTTCCTGGCCTAGGTATTTTATTATTAGTGTTGTAAGATTCTCCCACTGGAAGGACTGGGTGAGGAGTACGGGAGATCTCTGTATTATTTTCACAACTTCCTATGAATCTCTATTTCAAACTAAAGAAAAAGCAATTAAAAATTGATATGAACAATTCCTAGTACCCTTATCAAGTCACAGTCCACAAAGACTAGTAGCAAATTATTTTTGCACAAAATAAGCACTGTTTACATTTTACAAAATGCAGACTATAAAGAGATGAACTCCATACCTTTGGGTTAAGCTTCGTAAGGTCATATCTCTTTTCTGAAAGGTTTAACACCTATAAAGGAGAAAAATGCCTTGTATAAAATAGATTTTAATATTTTAAAAAATTAATACTTTAACTTTTAAAAAAAATACTTAAAATCTTTACACTCAAGAATCAGGGGGCAAAAAGCTTTTAGACAAATCACTGACATCATAGATGAAAGGAGAAGAAGCCATTCATTGCATTTTGACATGACATTTGCCTTCCAGGTACCAAGGATCAGAAAAGATTGAAAAGTACAGACGTGTGTTGTCACAGAATAGAAAGCAAATAAAATAAGTTAGGGATGGCATACAGAGCCCTTACACATAAAGTCTATATTCTACTTCGTTAAACAGTATTAAACCAGGCAATTTATCATGCTACTATCTTTTTATTCTCATGGCTACAAAACATCCCAACATACAGGATATATACATATACACATATATATGTACACACACACACACGTATGTATACATATACATACGTGTGTGTGTGTGTGTGTGCACGCGTGTATAAAATAGCTTCCCTGGTCTTGCTCCTGGCAACACAAACTGACCCAACAGAGAGATAGCACATGGTGAGGAGGGCAGTCCCTCCTTTGTGGCCCAGTGGGCTCAGGCCTGGAAACGGCTGAGTTCATGCCCAGCCAAGAGCCACGTCCTAAGTTCACTGAAAAATCACAGCTGTTTGTGGAACCTCCCTAAATACTCAAGTACAGCAAAATGGAAAAAATAATAATAATGTTCCAGCAGCACAGAGCCTTAAAAATTAACTAGACGTCCCTCTAACTTCAGAGTCAGAGACGTGAGGATGGAGGCTTGTCTACGGCCAGGTCACAGTAAGACGGGCTTCAAGGGGAGAAAGAGCAGGAGCCTGAGTGAATGAAGGGTCGGGGGTGAGGGGTCAGGACACAGGAAGCACCTGGCCAGGGCTGCTCTCGCATCAGATGGGGGCCACATCCTACTCTGCCACTGGTACACTTCTCTCAGCCAGTGGTGCCCCAATCATTGGAGCAGACCCGCAAAGAAGACAATGACTCCCTTGTAGGCTTGTGGGGCAGATTAGCTTTACCATAGATAAGGAGGCAGGTAAGAGAAGGTGCCAAGGAGCTGTCATTCAACCCCATCAGGGACCGCAGACAGCAGAAGAAGCCAGCCTCTGCTGGGGCTAGCAACCATGGGAACAGAAAACAAGGGGCCAATCGGAGGGCAAGAGATGGTGAGAGGCTGCTCTGTATTCTTCCTCAGCTGTGGGCTCCACCAACAACTTGACACGTGTGTTTTGAAAATCTACCTGTCTCCTTGCCCGCAGGGCAGCCCCTGGTTTCTTGGGCACCCACCTAATGTGTCTTCCTAATTTCTTGCTGAGGAGGAGAGTCACAGTTTGCCTTTTGATATCAGGGAGGCAGCATGGGAGCGCAGGGGTGGATGGCTGGGGACATGTCCCCAGGCACTGGGGAGCCAGCCTCACTGATAAGTGCAGGACAAGGCAGCGCTCATCCCTGCGGTCAGCTGTCGCGCGTCCCTGAAAGCTGCCTACAGAGATACATGAGGCTCCTCTCCAGGCAAAGCAGCAGAGAGACAGAGGACCAGGGCACCCTGGGCTGCTGTGTGACAGGCTCTCCAGCTTCTCCCTCGTGTGTAAGCCAGGGCTCTGCGGGTGCCTGTCCCCTCCGAGTGCCTGCTGCACAGCCTGCCTGAAGGCTCCTGGAGCCGCCCACCACTCACCAGGTAGTTGTCCCCGTGCTTGGACTTGAGCATGCGCGTGACCTCCTGCAGGTTGTGCAGGTAGGACTCCTCGGAGCAGCTGGCGGGGAATGACACGGCGATGATGCGCTCCGTGATGTAGGTGAGGTCCAGCCCGTGGCCCTCCTCCATGGTGGGGCTCAGGACGACGGGCCTGGAAGAGAGCAGTGGGCAGGTCAGAAATGGGGTAAGGAGGCAACAGACATTCATCCTCTGGAAAAGGGAGAGGACGATGGACACATCCTCCAGGTGTTCACACCAGCACCTGGGCAGCCCGTGGTGGGAATTTACAGTGTGTGCCGTCTCTGCGCTGTGTTCCCGTAACGGCGGGCAGTGCAGGGAGGGGCACAAGATCGAATTTTCCTAGCAGGGCATGACTGGGTACTTCGAGCTGCAGGCAGGGAATGCACAGAGAGAAAGCAGCTCAGAGCAGTGACCCATGGGCTCAGATGCAAAAGCATGAGGGCAGGAGGGACTTTTCATGGTTTCACTGGGAGCAGGAGTACTGTCCCAGGCGGGACTCCAGGAAGGGGAGCCTCAAC